GGTCGACGGGTCGGTCGACCGACCAACCGACCGACGGATAAAGGAACCAGCTACTGCCGTTGCCGTTGCTACTGTCGCCCGTTCACGGTGTTCCGCTAGTGCTGTTGCTGGTGCTGGTGCTGTTGCTGCTACCGCCGGCGCTCTTAACTCGGCGCACGGATATTGTTTACCCGACCATTTAGGTAATTGCTGGCCTACCGCCCTGCCAGCCAATCGAACGTAACTGGCGGATGAGCCTGCAATACCGAGCCCTCCCTCTCCTCCAATCAACTCTCTCTTCCTTTGTCCTCTACGCACGCTGTCTCTGTCTCCTCTTCTGTCGCGATTTTTCATCCTTTTTCTCTCTCGATGCGCCGCATCATCGCGTTGTTCTACCTTGTTTGTCGTTCGATTCGCGTTTATGTTGCAAGCTTCCCTCCGATCATCATCGAATTAGCTTGGGCCCAATCGTTCGACGAGATTGACGCCGCTGCTCTGCCGGCGATGATCGATTCTTTCCACGAAATTGGAGAGACACTTGCGCTCCCGTGGCATCCTCCCACCCTCCTCTAACTCTGTCCACGATCGACCGGATCATTCGATGACCGATCAAGCGAGACGATCGCGATACGTCCTATTAATAGTTTGATCGACGACGACTGAAAGGTTACGCAAACGTTTCTCCGGAGCTAAGAGTCCAATTAATTGGCCCGAGGGATGTTCTGTTTGCCTTAAAATTGCGTAATTCCTGGAATCTGATATCGATCGCTCGTTACAGATTCTGGACGACGTGTCTCGTATTACAGATCCTTTTCAGAAAGCTTTCCTATTTATCAAACGCAAATGGATATTTAACTGTCTCGAAGCAGCATTCCTAAAGAGCGAACTCGTGCTAAAAATCCGCAGATTTTTACGCCCTTGGCAAATGCGTGAGATGAAATATATCTTGCTTTGAATCCACTTTATTAATTAACCGTAAATACCGACGACAGACGAATGGCAAACAGATATAAATCGGTAAAAACAGATAAAACCCCAACCTAACTTCACTCTATAGGAAAATAGTTAAATGATTGAAACGTATATTCCCGAGTCCTTGAGCGGCGGAAACGAGAGCGGCTGAAAAGCTGGCTCCTCTGATCCACCGTTAATAAGCTGTAATAATAGGTCGGGGGCGGGCGCGAGTCGGCTACCGCGTCGCGAATCGATAGCATAATGAAGCAGATCAAATATTTATAATCCTACGCGGCCGCTTTATCGGTCGAGTTTTACTTCGGCCGTACAGATGTTCCTGGCGAAACGGGAATCGCGTAATCGCATCGTTTTCGGCGCGTCGCTGGCGCATCGACGGATGGAACGACGAGAGCGATGGTTTTCCAGGCACTGGTAGTTGGCAGCCGCCGGACTAATTTTCAACGCGGCGCTCGCCGCGCTCGGCTAATGAGCATTATCGTAAATTTATTTCGGCCCGGCTCGCCCGGCCACCGCATAAGAACTAACAAATTAATTTAATTCGTAAATGACACGTACGGCGTGCACGGTGCATTTACTGCATTGAATGCCGGCGCGCCGGCTGCAGCTCAATTTGCAGCCGGCCACCAAAGCTTAATTAAAAATTTACACCGACAATGTAGCCGAGTAGCGGCCGCCGCTCACCGTTCCGCACGTGCCTACTCTCGTCGTTACTCGGTTTAACTATCTCGCTGACAAAAAGCTTTCTTACGAATACTGACGAATGGAGAAATACAAAGAGTGTTTGTGCACGGTGGAGAAACAAGGAAAGTGAGAGAGGAAGATGTGTTACGGTCGACGTGCGACTTTCAAACGCGTTTTATCATCGGATCATCATATACGAAGGAATAGAAAAGAACAGGTTGTTATCCATCGAATAGGTTAGGGGACGAAAGGGGTTGCGAGGTCGCAGGTGAACACACTGCCGGATTACCCTACCTGGCAAAGTGATGTGGGTTTAGGCGAGCGTTCCTAATAGTTCTGAAACGGTGCACGAGTCGAGGAGCAAGCTAGGTTGATAGATAGATGGCTAGACCGGCAAAAGGAGGAGCGGAGCGAGAGGGTGGCATAGGGCGTGTGGGTGCTAGAGAAGGATAGATCGATAGACATCGGGTGAACCGGGACAAAGACCGAACGATACCGGTCGACGATCCGCCAGAGAAAGACGTAAATATAGAATAAGAGACGATAGGCGAAAGAGAGAAGGGACGATAGAAGGTAGAACTGGAGGAGAGTCGAGGGGCGGGGGGTAGTTTGGAACGGAGATCGAACAGACCAGCCGTGACCAATTTGCGCCCGTTCGTGCTCCCGATTCTGATCCCGATCCACGATTCGCTCACGTCCACATGCATACACACACACACGCACACACACACGCAAGCACAAACACATTCTACACTATCTCATCCTGGACATCCATATACACGTACGTACACGTATTCGTATACACAAAGATAGAACGAAAACGTAGAGTTGGCCTCGATCTTCCCTACGAGCTGGCCCCTAGCAGGGCCAACGATGCCAAAAGATACTCGTCAGAGAGGAAAGTCGCGCTGTGTTGTCGCTCGTTGTACGCCGGCCACCCCAAAAGTTTCACGCCTATCTGGACCGACGGCACCACTTCTATTCGCGCCACGATAATTGGCCAATTAAAACCGGCCGAGAGCGTTCGAGTTACCTGGCATCCGATAATTATACGGTATCCTCGCGGTGGTTCGACCACGTATCCACGCGACCAAGGGGTGTCAGAAAGGGAGGCAGGCATCCGACCTCCTGGCGAAGGGAGGACTCCGAGCCGGAGGATGGATCCTGACGTGGAAGGAGGAGAAGCAAGAGGGAAACGGAGGCTGCCTACGAACGTAAGGTAAGGGGGTTGGGAATCGACTATTCCGATTACGTGGCTTCGGATTCTGCGACTCCCTTTCTCTCTGCCTGGTTCCTCTCGTTCTCTCTTCGCGCGTGTCCCACCCCTCTTGGCCCTCTCCAGGTCTTCCCTCTCGACGTCCTGTCCTCTTCTACGTAAATCAATGCGGCCAGCACGCCCTCTCCTTAACCCTGTGACGCATGACTGGAATATTCCTCGGTTCTCCGCGTTCATCCGCGGTCTGTTTACCCGGACTCGTTCCCCAGGTATCGATATAATGGCGTTCGGCTTCGTGTTCGTGCCCGTTGATTCGATAAGAAGGGTAGCGGCTTGCTTGGTCGTGAACCAGCCTCTGGTCCACTTGATCGACAGCTCGTTAGCCGGCATGTTAATTGATTCGATTTCCTGCCGCGAGGAGAAGAGAATTTCCTGGCTTCGTATGGGAATATCTTTTAGGGTCTTTAGATTGTTTCGATCAAAAAAAAAAAAAAAAAAAAAAGGAAAGAACGCTCGATTCTGTATTTAAAGTTGTTTCATGCGGAAATATTGTACGAAGAATTATATCGCCATCTATAATAACGATGGGTTTCCGACACGGCAAACAGAATAGAATTATTTACTTGTTTATTTGTAGCTGCGACTACAATACCACGTAATTCACCCTTATAGTCGTTTCATGCATAATTCGAGAATATTCGATCGCTTTCTCAAACGCAAATACCGAGCGTTCCTCAATGCCAATTGGCGCGAGCTCCTTTCGCGTTTGAAATACGATCGAGTTCGGTTACACAGGAACGAATATTTAATTTTTTTATCGAACAACACCCGCCGAAAATGAAGAGCAAAACTAATGGAATTGTATCGGCCTCGCGATCCGTGATCTATGTCTCATTAAGAATGTTCCAGTTTGATTCATTCCAGAGGCGAGTGATTGATCGTTTATCCCTAATTAGAGATCGGGGAAGTCGTGAAAAAGTAGATGAAATTACGCGTGACACGAGCGGAAATTAGGTTCGTGGCGAACAGAATGATGTATGATCGTTATACTTCAGTAACCTTAGCGACAACTACGTTAAGATACTCGCAGGCCGCTGCTCTATTTCCGATGGAACTTCTTCTACGAGGTAATTATCCTCTTAATTAGAAGCATAATTCCCCGTTGACGTTCCGTGTTCCTTTTGAAGAGAAACTCGAATAAAGAACTAAAAAAAAAAAAAAAAAGAGGAAGAGGAAAA